TCCTGCTGATCGCCTAAATCTTCCTTTAACGATTTAGTGTTCTGGGTCCCCCTGAGGCTTAGAGCTATCTGCCGTTTGTATGGAATGGAATCGGGTATGTGTAGTGAAACTAAGTGCGGATGTTTCATTTAGAACTCGGTGTTTCTCTTGTCTTAGCTGCAAATCTAGAGCTAAAATAAGATTGGATTTAATAATAAGGTATCATAGCATGGGCACCTATTCTTGACCAAAGGCCACAAGCTTAGCACTTTGCATGGTATGAAGCTCTAGATTTATGCTCTTCCATGGTACATTGCACATTTTTGGCCAAATTCACATGAAGGGTTTGTTCCTAATGGATAGATTCTTCATCTGTTAGGATGCTTCACACTTGATTTTTTGGTTATGGACAAAACCTGGAATTCCAGTGGATGGATAGTCATCCTTTTTACCGTCGCCATGTCCTGTCCTCAGCTTGGGAATGTCCAGTCTAACCAACCACTGTGGTTCATCTTGGCAGATCATTCTGTCGCAAGAGAGGCATATCCAGAGGCTAAATGGCATCGTTCGGAACCTGCAGCTTCAATTGGTGGAATGCGTGGGACAGAACGGGACAAAAAACGCTACCGAAAACTACAATCTGGACAAGCAATTCATCAAACTCGACAGGAAACACATCCTGGAAGACTAGGGCTCCTGTCTCTCCTGAGTTGATATATGACCAAAACGGTAAACTTTAAGTTGTAAAAAAAAAAACCCTCTTTTGATCCGTTATGTTCCAAGTGTTGTATTTTTTTTTTTTGTACATTACACTGAATCTCTGACTGGGTCTAAGCCGAGAATGGTCAGAGAGTTGTGAGTCTGATTCGTGAAAGAAGGTTTGAGAAATCTTCTGTTTGAAATTCGGGGGATAGAATTGTTCTCAAAATCCTACATGTATACACACATATATATATATATATATGTGTGTGTGTGCGCTTGTGTTTGTGAAACTCTTTGGCATGAGGCCATAACTTTGTGGGTCTTTGGCATGTGTGTGTGAATCTTTGGCATTAGGTCAAAACTTGGTGAGTATATATATATAGATAGATAGATAGATATATATATATATATAGAGAGAGAGAGAGAGGGTGCTGTCAAACTTTGGTTGGATGAAAATGGGTCACAGATTTGGTGAATGGAAGTGCAAAAATCTAAGAAATTCACGTATGCAGTGTGCGCACACAAGTTTCAAATCCCAAGTCCAAGTCCCAACGTTTTATTTGTTTAGTCAACAAATTGAAAGTCGCAACTTTTTATTTTATATATATATATATATATATGTATATATATATTTCTTGTGATCCGACCACCCCGTTATAATTAGTTAAGTTTTATAATTATTATATAGGTTGCTTCTATTACTCAACCACCAACAAAACTACTGTAACAAAATAATAATAATTGTATTTAATTATAAATTTATATCCATGATATCAGAAATCAATATCACTTATATTAGTTAAAATTCAATCAAAATTCTACGAATATAACCGCAATAAATATCCAAAAATGTAATAACAACAAAACTATGTTCTTCTGTGAGGGCTCCTGCTTTTATTTTCACTCTCTATTGTTGCGTAAAATTTATTCACTTACCAATTTGGATGTATAGAATCGAACTGAGTTTATGAAAATCTTTTCTAACATGTTTTTTTTTCTTTATGAAAATCAAGCTAGACAAATAAAATATAAACCCAACCACCAATATATATGGGAATTACTCTTCAGTGGTTTTAAGAGGATCGAATTCCGCAATCAAACTTATGTTTTCTAATTCTAGCTTCCAACTTGCGTTTTGGTAGCGGTTTCCGGCGTTTTGACAAAAAAAAAAAACTAAAATATTTTTATTAGAAATTATATAAAACATTAATATATATATATATATATTGGTGATGATTTTGTTTAGTGTTTTGATTTGATATTATTTTTTAGTATTATATTTTAATAAAAAATACAACAGTGTAATTTTTAGGTTTAATAATGATTATTTTTAATAATTTTTATAATAAAATTATTTTTTTACTTAAAATAAATTAAATTAATAATATTTATATTTTAAATTTATTATTTAATTATTATAAATTTAGTAAATAATTTTTATTAAATGATACGAAAAATTTAATTAAAACTATTATAAAAAATTATTTTTAAATAATTTTTTTTTGACAATTTATATCAAAACGCAACCGCAACCGTAATGAACCATTCACTTTTAACTGCACCCACCCGCAATCGCTACCAACACAACTTTTCAACCAGTCAGTATTAATCATTTATAATCGCTATCAAACGTTCTGAAAACGCTGCCACCTGCAACCGCAACCGTTGCGGTACAACCAGTCGAACTCTAATTCCTTTTGTGATAATAAATGCAATTTCAAAGCCCAAATCATATACTCAACCTTTTACATCTTCTCCCATTTATTGCTGCCATCACATTATAAATAGTTGCATATATGATCATTTTCTTACCAAATTTAATTTGATAACTAAAGAAAACTAATCTCTATAAATGACTTTGTAAACATTCAATGAACCCCGGCCCACCCCCCACACCCCCCTTGTGTTGTGTGTGTGTATATATACACACAACTTCAAAGCTTTCTTCTTTGGATCTGCTAAAACAAAAGAGCAGAGCCCTTCACTAAGGTAAGTTACTATTCCATTGACACCATGTTATTTTCTCACGTAATACGTCGTATATTCTTATACATATATGTATAGATGTATGTATGTATGCATGTATGTATATACACATATCATTCATCTTCTGAATAGAAAAATAGGTTAATAACATAATTGCATGCAGGCTGATCATCCACCTCGAAGTGGACTCTTATCCTTGTCCTATCGAAGAATTTTCTTTCTAGAGACAAGGGACATGAATCATCATCAACAAGATCAAACCGGTAACCTAGGACTGGATCTGAAACTGAATCTTCTGTCGTCGCCATTAACACAATTCGACCCTTCTTTATCCGTGGAGAGCTCATCATCGTGGTCGTCGGCAGCAGAGGAGGCCAAATCAATGGTGGCGGTGGTGGGTTGCCCTAATTGCATCATGTACATCATCATGTCCTTAAAAGGTAAACCAAGGTGTCCGAGGTGCAACAACAAAGTTTTGGTCGATTTTCTTGGAGGAGAGAAAAAAACAATGTCAAAGAAGAACATGATCAATAATGTTAGTTAAACCCTAGCTTTGGTTTGTTTGTTCCTCACATATTGTTGTCCATATATGGATCTCTGTTTCATATATATATATATATATCCTTTTACTCTCCTATATATGTACGAAACATGCGTTGATATGTTGTTCTTCTTCCACTATATGTGTGTGTATATATATATGTATAGAGAGAGAGAGAGAGGGAGAGAGATGCAGTAACCGAAATCATTTTAGCGTTGAACATCTATACAGGCAACTAGCCGAAACCCTAAATCGATCCGATAAAAGAACCATTTAAAAATAATATCCTACCGATATTTAATTTGAAATTTCATTTAATTTTATGCACAATATTATCGGTCTGTATCTCGGTCATAAATTAATGTATATGAGGACAACATATTCAATTCGGTAGTCAATTTTAGGTTATATTAGTATATGAAACAGTTAGAATCTGTTAGGATTCAGTTAGAAGTAGTTAATTGGTGGAAACTGTATTTAAGCGAGTTGTACAGAACAGAGCAATACATCGTAAAATTTTCCCCATCTTCTTTCTCTCTCTACTGGCTCTCTATCGACTTTCTCAACAAACATAAAATGGTATCAGAGCACTATCTCTGAGAATTTGCTCATTTTTTTTCGATCCTTCATCGTTTCGGTTCATCAATGGCGGAAGCACAAGCGGCGGCTCCTCCAGCGGATGTTCCACCTCCAGATTCACCGTATTACCTAAGCTCAGGTGATCAAATGAATCTCGTTCTTGTATCCGATCGTCTCACTGACGCTTTGGATTACAATTCATGGTGTTGTTCCGTCACTATGGCGTTGGAAGGCAGAAACAAGCTCGGATTCGTAGATGGATCTTTGCCAAAACCTGCTGAAACTGATCCGAATCTCAAGCACTGGCTTCGCAATAACGCGATTATCAAATCGTGGTTACTCAATTCTGTTTCGAAGACTATCACAATCAGTCTCATGTATGCGAAATCGGCTAGAGATATATGGCTCAATCTTGGTACTCGATTTCATCAAAAGAATGCTCCGAAGCTTTATGCAATTCGTCGTAAGCTCCGATCTCTTAAACAAGGATCTATGGATGTTGGTAACTATTACACGCGTTTGATAACGCTTTGGGAGGAGTTGAAGAATTTGCAATCGACTCCTTACTGCACCTGTGGAGGTTGCCATTGTGAAGCTGATCATCGGTGGTTTGAATTTTTTGAAAGTACATTTGTCATTGATTTCCTATATGGACTCAATGATTCTTTTGAAACAGTCAGAGATCAGATCATCATGATGGATAAAGTTCCGGATCTTGAGAAAACTTACAGTATAGTTTCTCAATATGAGCAACAAAAATTGATCAAGAATCAACCGATTCAAGAATCTGTAGTATTCAATATTGCAGAGCAGCCTCAGATTGTTAATCAACAGAAAGATCAGATTGTTGCTGCAGTCTCTGGTCCACAATTCAAGAACAAACAAAGACCACTTTGTACACATTGTGCATTGTATGGTCATACAATACACAAATGTTACAAACTTCATGGATATCCTCCTGGATATCGACATCCATCATCTCAATCCAATGAGCAACGACCACAATTTGTGACGAACCAACAGCCGAAGACAACATATCAGAATCAAAAGTTTTCAGCTCCTATATATCAAAAAGGGACGATAGCAAATATTTCTGCGAGTCAGTCTACTATCAAATCACCAATTAACTACTTCTAACTGAATCCTAACAGATTCTAACTGTTTCATATACTAATAGGTTAGATGAAACGACTAATAAGAGTAGTACAAGTTA